CAAGTCCCCGCTCTGCCAGATACTTGACTACAGTGACAACCCTCTGCAGCACCTGTGTCCAATACTCACACTCCTCATTAAACTGTTTTTTTTAGTTCTGAATCCACTGTTCCACGGTCAGCTGTCTGATTGATGAAGGATACCATGGCTTTCCTGTGCATGTCACAGCTTTCATGTTCGGCTATCCGTTCATTTGCGTGCTTCCAATTAGAGTATCCCACGCTGCCAAATGACGTGTCTCTCTTATCGCCAAATAGTTTGCATGCAAAGCAGAAGACACTACCTCGGGATGGTCAGTAACATAGCCACTCCCTGAGCATATACTCCCCGTTACCCAGCTTGCGCTTGAATAAGCTTCTGGAGAAGTATCTCTTCTGATGCTTGTACTGCCGCTCTGAGGCAGAGAAGTCAGCTTCTCTGTTTTGACACAATTCCGGACCCATTTCCGCCCAGTAGAGAAGCACCTGTTCGTCCATGTTGTTGCCCCAGAGACCTGGGTCAGTGCTGTAGGGGTCGTCTAGTTCTCCTGTATCCTCGTTTTCCCGCTTGTCTTCTCCACTCTGCTCTACGCGCGCCTGGTCCTCTCCTCCAGATGAGTGACGTATCGGGCCTCCCTCATGTATTTGTCCGGTTGACGTTGGCTACCCTCCACGTAGCAAGTCCTCGTCGTCCTCTCCATCTCCTCCAACAGATAACGTCCCTCCTGTCTGTTTTTCCTCTCCCGCTACTCCATCGCTATCAGAACCAGACGGCCTACTTGGCTCCGAGGCCCCGCGGCCGTCACCGCCGTCACCGCTGCCGCTCGGTACAGAACTAATCTGTCCTTCCTCCTCATCCTGGCCTACAGGTTTAACCTGTTTAGCCCTGAGCCTGTTTTTCAGGTCTCAGGCTCGAAAATGACATTCCCAGAACAAATGACCATATCTTCCCTTTTAAAAGGGTTACATTAATAATCTTTTTTCTCAAAGTAATGATAAACCTGTGAGTTGGATGTAGAAAAGTCAGAATCAATATAGATGTTTTTTATTTTAAAGAAAATTCAGATTGAACATAGTAAAAAACTAAATTATAGTGTCTGTCCAAAAATTCTTTTTTACTTATAGTGAAAACTACCCTTGGATGATGGTAAGGTAGACTAAAAGCTTTAGGAATCCAAAGTACAACATATAATAAGTACCCTGTATCAAGATTGATGCAAAACAAGTGATATTTGACCTTTCTAGAGAGGTTTAGCAAAGAAAACTCCACCTCTGAGGTGATTTGGGTGGAAATGGGGGTTTTACCGTTTCTCTGGAACCCATTGGTCGATTTTGGTGATTGACATCTCTTTCTGACCGTTAGAGCCAATAGAATCGAAAGGGGAATTTCCCCACACACACATGGTAAAAAAAAAAGGTGGGGGCTTCGCGCATGCAGTTTTGCATCAGAGCGAACCTATCTCTAGCTCTGACATCTGGAAACGGAAAAGCAGGGTTTATTGCTTATGGATTATCAGAAATCATTTCAAAGGGACACAGACACATTGGATTAACCTATGGATTAACTTCAGCAGCGTTTTTATCGTTTTAATGCCATTGAAGACCACTTTTGACCAGACTTCGACACATGTAAGCCATGTTAGCGTTTTTAGCTACCTAGCGCCACATGTTCTGATGTCTGTTTTGTTTATAAAGTCACGGGTTCGTATCATAGAGTGATAATGTATGTACCCATCGATTCTGTGTCATCTCACGATGTGAATCGATGTGTTGGATGTGCAGAAAAGATAAATAATAAGGTTTTATGAGTGACTTTCGGTGCAGTAATCTGTTAGCATTTTTCGCTCGTTGCTAATTCAGAGGCATTCGTTAGCATTGTGTTTTTTTTTTGAAAAATAAATAAAAATGATCAGTTAGATGAGTTTCTTCCCGTTACATGGATATAAAACATTCATAGTTTATTAAAGTGGACCTATCATGCTATATTTAAATGATATATTGTAGGGCCATAAGGTATATTTATACGTTTCTGTTTTCAAAATACCAAACAGATCATGCATTTTAGCCATGCCTCATTTCGCTCTATGTGCTGTTTGCTGTCTACGGGTCTGATTCTGCTGACCACGGCCCCCTGCAGGAGAGGTGAGCCGTGCTCTGATCAGCTGCTGGGCTGTCAGAAGAGGGGGAGAAAAAGAGATCTCCGTCCTCCGTGTTTTATTATATAGAGTCGTTATTCATTTGTTTTAAAGCTCAATAAATAACAAAGAAGACCTTTGACCGGCACTTTTCTAATTTTGTCCGGAAGATTTAAACTTTAACGGACATCTTGACCGGCGAAACAAACTGAAACTGAAACTCTGCCGCACGGTCCCCTCGTTCCTTGGAAGAGGTGGAGAGGTGCGTGTTTGTCATCTGCTGGTGGACTAACCGGAGAGAATTACAGTGCTTGCCTCGACGGGGAGGGATTGCATTGCATTAAAGCAGCGGGAGCAAACGCTTGCCTCGGGGAGGGAGAAAGAAAGCCACAGCGGAGAATAAACAGAAGGGTAACCATGGTAACCAAGTCTTCTTTGCTGCTTTTGTGGCAGACTACAGCGCCACTTACAGGCCTGGCATATGTACTACAGCGTCTCCAGCACTTTCGAACGGCAATGGCCGTGGCTGTCTCCTCCTGATTGGTGGAGTTGGCCCAATAGCCGTAGCGCCACTTTCCTGACGTCAGTAAAGTGTTCAAATCTGGATCAGTTTTTATCAGATCCGTTGCAGCCCCTTTTTTTAGAGATTTGGGTATGGAGGAAAATAGAGAGGGTTGTGTTTTCTGACACTTGGTGAGTTCCCTGGAACACCGGGGACACATATTCATGTATAAAAGACGTACAAAAGTGCATTTTGCATGATAGGTCCCCTTTAAGCAACGTAAAATGTGCGTTAGCTGGCGAGCATCACAGAGCAGCACTGCTGAGCATGTTAGCTTAGCTTGGCAGCCTGCAGCTAGCTCTGGAACTTCCAGCTCGGTGGCAGGAGGTCCCGCCTCTTTGCCCTTATTTGGATCAGGCGGGAGTTAGACTCTGACGTCATTGTTGAGCCGTTAGTGGCCGACACCGCCTACTTTAGGCTTCTCGGCAACTCTGCAGAATCATATGGGTGACGTCACGGACACTACGTCCATTTACATATACAGTCTATACCGACAATTTTTTTTAGCTTGGTAAGAACCGGTTTTCGGGGAAAAGAGCCGGCTCCGCTGCAGCACCCCCAGCACCCCTACTTCCCGCGGCTATGGGTGCAGTGCAACCAGGGCCGCCCCTGGCCAACTTGTGGCCCCACGCAAAGTGATATGATGAGGCCCTCTGTGTCGCGAGCGTCGACGGGGGGGGGGGGAGCCTCACAGCGGCGAAACTGTGGCGCGCTTACACTGTAGGTGCGCCGCACTTGCGCTTCAGATGAGGCTCCCTCCGCAAATGAAGCACCCTCCGCAAAATGAAGCACCCTCCGCAAACTGAGGCCCCCTCCACGAGGTGAGGCCCCTGCGTGATCGGCCTGTAGGGAGGGGCGGCCCTGAGTGCAAGTGAAATGTTTTGTAATGCACGAGTCAACACATTCCATGCTCTCTTGAGAAATCTAATGTACAAATTCATCTGTCGATTGAATGTTTCTCATAATAACTCTGTTATTATGCTGCTTTCAAATCCGTGTCTCAGTACTGTACGATACCAGTCACCTTTGTGGAAACATTGCCTTTTTTAATTTATATTTGAGTGTTGAATGTCTTTTAAAAATGGACCTATAGAGTCTCTTTAAATAAAGCTGATGATATGGCTGTGACTGACCCGAGCTTGCGCCTCGTCGTTCTGATAGCCCCGCCCCTTCGCTTCAACCCCAATGCGTAGTTTATATGTTAGTATTTCTAAAAATCTCCTGGGGGAGAATCCCCCCAGACCCCCCTGCTGGAGTTGGGTTTTCAGCATGTGTGCCTTTTGATGTTATACAGTTCAGCTTTGATTCCATCATCTCATTAAACCTTTTTAAAAGCATACTTTAGTTCTGTGAAGGGATATATGCACTGTACTTCACTTTAATTAATAATGAATGCTGGAAAGGGTATATATATTACAGCACGATTTTTTGTTGAATAGATTTGAGTGGTTCAAAATCTCGGGTCGCGAACAAAGGAAAAAGTGGGTCCCGAGGCCGGACCAGTTGAGAACCACTGGTTTAGACTATGGAAGAAAGTGTGCATTCCACAGTGCCCGAGTGTCAGAGGAATGAAAAGTTCTGATTATAGTATTAAACAAGAAGCTTCCAATGGTTACTTAATAATAGCGTGGTTTAATGACGTGGGGAGAATGTCCAAATTGGCTTTTTGTAGAGAACTGCTCTTCTTGCTCTATCTTTAGTTCATTAATTAAATGATTTATATAGTTATTGCTATACACCCAGGTTAAAAATATATAAAATAATAGACACTTGTTTCTTACTCCTCTATGTTGATACATTATACACACTATAATATTATATTCTTATGTTACATTTCTCATGGTTTTCCTTGTTTTCCGAGGTTGATGTAAAAAGCTAAGTCTTAATTTTTTTAAGAATGACCCTTTTCTGTGCGTTCCGGTTATATTATTCCTATATATTTCATATTTGTATGGCTTTTTCCGGGAGTTATTGTAAATCTTGATAATTATTCAATTTTAATATTATTTGTGAAACAGAAATCTACATTTTGGACTCTGCGTGTCTTTTACAAATATTTTGCGATCAATTGGATTTACCACAGTTAGATTCCAATCAAGGTGTAAACATTTTAAAGATGATTTAGTCACATGAGAGGTGTCTGAGATAAATGTCAAGTCTCATGGCCAATGGCCTGAAAATATTTCAATCTTTTGTCGTAATAGAATGTTAATTGTAGATTGCAAAGAGAATAGGGAATTTAACAAAGTTCCTGTTTTCCTATAATTTACTATTAGGAAGGATTTATATTCCACAAAGGCTGATTTGATGTATGCGCTGTTCCTCCCTTCGCCGTCAGTGGAGCTGTTTGTATTTCCACAAAAGGGACATTCAAGCGGCGAAGAAGAAATTCCCCGGAAGCTACATTTTCTCTGCACGCGGTGTGTCCGGCCTTTCCAACAGGGCTGCGAGAAGAAACATGGTGAGGAGCTCGACACTCGCACAAAACTCTGTTTTTTGTCATGTTTATCTGAACTAAACCCTATTCATTTTTGTTATACGTACACATAATCTATTCGTGTATATATTCTTGCATGTATTGATAAGTAGGCTGCCACAGGAATGTAATAAAATGTTAAATTCTGAAGCGCTACTTCTGACGGACGGCGCTGTGCTGCTAGCAGGAGGCTAATGGATACATGTCTGGCTAATGATAGCCTAGCAGCTACAATTGCTGGATTACATTAGCGGCTTGCCTACACCCAGTGTCTTTGTAGATAACTTAACGGCTAGCTGATTCATTTAAGCAAGCTTAAGTTGCGGCTTGAAGAAAGACTACTGTTTTAAAGCTGTATTCTTACGTAGCTCTGTTACCCACAACGAGCTGCATTAGCTAGGCTGACTCGTGTCGGAAAGAGATGTCTGAGGTAGTGCGAGTCCGATGTGCCATTGTCTCATGTAAATGTTATTTTTGTAATTGTCCAGGCCAAGATCAAGGCAAGAGATCTGCGGGGCAAGAAGAAGGAAGAGCTGCTCAAGCAGCTGGACGACCTAAAGAACGAGCTCTCCCAGCTCCGTGTGGCGAAGGTTACCGGAGGAGCCGCGTCCAAGCTCTCCAAGATGTAAGTAACGTTACTCACGGTACAAAAATGATTTTACCGTTGGGCACACTTTCCTCACAACTCTTCCTTGTAATAATAGTCAGAACTTTAATTTGACACCTGTCTAAAATTCTTGATTCTGAAACTACCATAGGCAGGACTTACAAAAGTCAGGAAATGTTATAATTTCACACACCATGAAACTTTGAGCATTTCTTCTATTAAATGGAAAATATAACCAAACCCATCTCTAAACCTTTGCATGTCCCACGACTGCGTGTTGCCATGACATCTATGAAGAAATAAGGGTTGGCAGTACTATGAGCTATTTTATTGAGCTGGGGAATTGATGTCCAGGTTCAACTCAAAACCATGACAGTATTATTGGGCAATATTTCCCCAGACGGTTGGCACCCCCACTCTGCCTGTAGTGAATGCTATAATGCATCAATGTAACTCGTAAATTAAAACACATTTTTTAAATTCCAATAATAAACTGGGATATAGGAACATTCTGACTGACAGCATATACTGGTATACTATCCATTTCCAGAGCAAACGGGTAAAAGATCTGACAGGTGTGTATAGAATGTACACTTCCAAGCTCTCCAAGATGCAAGTAACGTTACTCACGGTTTAACCAGGCAAGCAGTGAAGGAAGAGACTTTATAAATGGTAGAATTTCAAAAAAAGTCCTGCGTGGAGCTCTAGTCAAAGATGATATACGTTGAGCTGATGTTCTGCTGATGCATTCACAACTGCTTACCAAAAGACTGAGACTTGAGATGACGGAGATAACTTTTATTCTTTCAGGGTAAAATAATCTACCTAGACATGTACCAGCTTACTGCTTTGAAATTAGTCACATTTAACAAACCATTGTTTTGTTTGTGTTATCTGAATCTCAGAACTGTGTTCTCTCATGGGGATCCAACATGATTTATGTTTTGCTAACATTAATCTGAAATCTGCTGGGCTAATCCACTGTGACTTTGTGTCTTCTCTGCAGCCGTGTTGTCCGCAAGTCCATCGCCAGAGTCCTGACTGTAATAAACCAGACGCAGAAGGAGAACCTGAGGAAGTTCTACAAGGTAAGAGCGAGAAGCTTCCTGTTGGCAGTAACCCCCCCCCCCCCAAGAGAAGACTCGTGTGGATCTCAAGTCAAAGATGATACATGTTGAGCTGATGTTCTGCTGATGCATTCTCAACTGCTTACCAAAAGACTGAGACTTGAGATGATACGAGTGTTCCTAAATAATCAGTGACTGAAATAATTCTTATGAAGACATTACTTTAAAGTATAAAATGTCCAACTTTTCGACATCTTAAGCTGTTCACATTTTACTTTCCTGTCCTTCACTATTGTCTCTTTGCATTTGGACCAAATATGTTTTCAGCTCCACTGAAAGTTAATGTCCTTTCTTTCAGGGTAAGAAGTACAAGCCTCTGGATCTGAGACCCAAGAAGACCAGAGCTCTGCGCCGCCGGCTCAACAAGCATGAGGAGGGTCTGCGGACCAAGAAACAGCAGAGGAAAGACCTCCTCTACTCAGTCCGCAAATTTGCAGTCAAAGCTTAGAGGCTTTTTCTATTGACAAAATAAAATCTGTGTTGAAGACAAAATCGTCTGTTCAGTTTTCTCTCTTCACTTGACCATAGAAATGTTGACTGGCCTTTTAGGTGTCATTACGCCTTCAAGTCTTTGCAAGTAATATTCATTGGTGACTTGGTTCTTTCATTGATTTGGGCTCAGTTGTGCAAGAGTTTTCAGATTAGTCACGGTTTTATCTGCATACATAGTTCGAGGCATAGTATTTAGCCTTTAGTTTCATGTTAATGAGCCAGCAGGATAAGCTGGTGCTGACACTGGGTTGTACATTTCTTGCCATTGGAAGTGTCGTGAATCAGAGAGAATATTGGTAACACCTTCAGGAAGTGTTTTCTAGTGATGGGTGAATCCAGCCTTTATGGTTTTCTTTGTGCTGAAAAGGGTTGCATGCTTGTAGCTACAAACGCGATGCATCTGTTGGCAGAGGTGGGGACTCGAGTCACATGACTTGACTCGAGTTGCATATTTCTTGACTTGAGACTTGCTTGACTAACATTGACAAAAGACTTGACTTGACTTTGACTTGGTATTCATGACTTGAGACTTGACTTAACGTTAAGTTTAAGCTACGTTAGACTTGGTTTCAAATCGATTAAGCATTGCAAAGAGAAGACAAAACGGTAAATGAACACTATAGAACCACCAAGGGATTCATTTGTACTGACAGGCTGTCAGGAGGGGGAAGAGAGAGAGAGAGAGAGGAAAAGAGATGCCTCGTTTATTTCCCCTGTGTTATCAGAAGTTACTGTACACTTTTGAATAATGTAGTTCATCTACTTTTAGTAGTTTGTTTAAATGTTTTAATTATGTTGTTTTTGTTTGTAGAAGTGCATCATTCCTTGATTTATTGTAAAATGAATCTGAACTTTTCGTATGACTTGACTTGACTTGCTTGACCTGAGCAATGACTTGACTTGACTTGCTTGACTCTCACCACAGTGACTTGGGACTTGCTTGATACTTGTAGGTCAAGACTTGAGACTTGCTCATGACTTGCACATGTAGGACTTACTCCCACCTCTGTCTGTTGGTCTGGAAAACATGGCAGCCCTTCAAGTGTACCCAAGCACTGCACTTTGTGGCTTGATGGCTTTGCTACCATACGCCCAACTCTAGATTTCTCTAGTGTGGAAAAAACTATCTGCATCTTCATTAAAGGTAGGGTAGGTACGTTTGAGAAACCGGCTCGAGATCGCTAGAATTTGAAAATACACAACCGGAGAAAATCTCCCACTTCCTTATAGAGCCCCTCCAACACACACGAACGCGCACATGACCAATGAGGGCACGATAAGTTTGTGCACAGATGGAAAGCTGACAGGCAGGTAGGCCATCCAGTTATTTTAGCCGGGCCGGCTCAGATGATTGGTCGTGCTTTTTACAGTACTACGGCTTCCACAGATGAAATTCTTTTATGGATTTTTTGTCAAAGCACTTAAGATATTCATTGCTATCGGGATGTTAAGAGCATTCCATGGAATATAACAAAAAGTGTATCTCGAGCCGGTTTCTCAAACTTACCTACCCTACCTTTAACTGTTTCATAATGACCCTCTTATATACTCACGTGATTACTCATATCTACTAAGAAGCTCTGCCAGTGTGGATTCTCACAACTTCTACAATGTCACAGTGAGTGGAAATGATAAAGTAAAAAAACAATCCATCCTAGTATTTCAAAGTTTAATGTGATTTTATGTGCCATATGCTGAAAATATGAAGTAATACAGGAAAATCAAATGCTATAGGCTGAAAGCAACATTGATGCATGAAAAATCAAAGTGATTCTCAAATGATAGGATCTAATTCTTCTGTACATCAACTTATTTGTTGCTGCCCGTTTACTGTGTATTGCTATTGCAATACAATTAAATGTACTTGTTAGAAACAGAAGCAGAATTAATAGGGATGATAAATATGAGGAAATAATGACTGAATCAAAACTTCCAGACACCTTGTGCTGGACATAGTTTATTCAGTATAAACTGATCTGTACCGTAGCGTAGGCCCACACAACCTGCAAAACACCGGTGCTTTAGAACACTCAGAAATTATTTAATCATTAGAAATCAGGAGACTAAATAATTGATATGAACATTATTTGCACCCCCAATGTGCTCAGATAGAAGGTGCAGAGACACAGTTATGGTTCAGAAACACAGACATTAGGAAACACCATCAGTTTTGACATCATCCAGCAAAGTAAATATTATTTAGTTTGCTGGATGATGTCAAAACTCAACTATATACAATAACATCAAGGCCCCAGGAAGTGCGCCGGACTCTGATTTCAATACAATTTCCGTATCAGTCCGTGACGTCACTGGGCCCAGAGAGGCGAAGTCCCTCCCTTTCCGGTGGACCTCCATGGGACCTTATTTCGGAAAAAATATGTATTGAAGTCTATGGAGAGAGAAAAGTTATCTTTCGATCCCGTTTGAATTGTGCCACAAATTACACATATGATGTTTGTCAATTTAAAAGATAATTTTGCAAGTAACTTTTTTTGTGTGAAACCGCTCAATGAACTACATCTCTGGTCTCGCACAACAACACACGCCACCAAGATGGCCGTCATTACTGTCTTGCCAAACAAGGGATTGACTACCCTCACTATCACCACAATGAAACACGTCCAGAAGAATGTCATGCAAAGCTGCCTGCCTGCCTGCCTGCCTGCCTGCCTGCCTTCGATTCTCCCTGAACTGCCTGATCTTTTTAATGTTAACCATTTGTGCAGATAGCATGAAGTAGAAAAGATCGCCGATGCTAATGTAGCGTTAGCGTTAGCATGTCTACCCCGGGGGCATCCGGGCTTAAACGGTGTATTATAGAATGATCAAACCGGTGTGACAGTACTCTTCAAAGGGTTCACGAAATATGACTACTACTCTTACTGTTTAACATTTTGTGTTACTTAATGTTACTTCATGTTAAGGCTAATAAAAATGACAAGGCTAAGGCTGTTATGCTAACTAAAGTGCTTGCTACTAGCTAGTTAGCTAACTTGATCCAGCCACTCCTGGTCCTTTCATCAGACGGGAAGCGAAAGAACGAGCAAGACCCATTGCTAGTATGATTACAACCTGGTACAAAGCACACAGGCATCTTGTTAAAGTTATCTTATCTTAGCTATCTCTTATATTTAGTGGAGGAAAACAATTATGACATCAGTTATGATGAGCTTTGCTGGCGTGGCTCGCTGCAAAAGTTGAGCAATGTTCAACTTTTGAAGCCTCGGCAGAAGCGTCAGCCAATCAAATCATATGACAGTACAAGCTCTAGCCAATCAAACCGCTGCTTGTGTGTCAGGGGCGGGAGATTTATGTGATTGGTTGTTGGTCGAGTTTCAGACACGCCCGCTGGCAAGCTTCAACGCACGCCGCTGTGTGTACGGGCCGTGAGGAAAATATTCGTTGTGACCAAACGGCGGTACTACACTTCCGAATTAGTTGCTGGGCCCGGAAAGACTTTTCCCCATTGACTAACATTGGGAAAGAGACGTCTGTTACATTCAGGGTCAAATTGACCCGTTTGAAAGTTTGAAAATCTACGAAAAATACTTTCAAGTATTTTTTTTGCATGAAACTTCTTCTACTTACCTTAATTAGTGCAATAAACAAGTAAAATGAAAATTGTTCATGTCATGCATTTGGAACCCCCCCTACATGCCTTTATCACAGAGATGGTATTCGTGCATGCATTTCCACACACACACACACACACACACACACACACACACACACACACACACACACACACACACCACACCACACCACACCACACACACGTACACACACACACACCAGTGAAAGTGGAGGCTAGAAGGGGTCAGTGGGCTCAAATGGGATATACGATATATATATATCGTAATTTTCCACACACACACAGACAGACAGACAGACAGACAGACAGACAGACACCCCGCACCAGGCAGTGAAAGTGGAGGCTAGAAGGGGTCAGAGGGTTCAAATGGGATATACAGTATATATATATCGTCATTTTCCACACACAAACAGACAGATAGACAGACAGATAGACAGACAGACAGATAGACAGGTGGGCAAGCCGTCTGATGACACCAAGACCAGCACGACATGTGTGCTTTGTGCAAAATACATTTGCGTAAAGCACACATTGACAACATGTCCCTCCTGTGCTGTGTAGACACACACACACACACACACACATACACACACACACACACACACACACACACACACACACACACACACACACACACACACGTTCTTAATTGCTGTTACAATAAAATACTGGCTTGATTCAAAGTGAACGGGTCAATTTGACCCTGAACAGAAGAGGTGTCTCGTCTCTATTTATCAACATCAACCAATTGGAAAAAAAAGTTGGAACATTTTAAAAGTAATTTAAAAAATGTTATGTTATGCAAAACTAATGTATTTTATATCAAGGTTTTTCCGATGTAAAAAAGAAAATAGAAAAATGTGTTTGAATGTATATGTTTTGTGAAAAACGAGTGACTTATTCTAATGGAACCATGATCTGTGAGAGGTGAATAACACAATTGCACTAAATAATGATTTCATTGATAGTAATAAAAGGTACAAACTATGTACAAAAAAAAATCTGGATTTTGGGGCTTCTGACAATTTTTGGATAATTAAACATGCACTGGGTCAAATTGACCCACGAATATTATTGCTGTTACAAAAAACGAATATAACAGGAGGGAAGCATCAATCTGGTGCACTTTGAGCAAAATACATCTCTCAACACCCATATGAAACAGAACTGTAAGCAGATTTTATTTTTCTTAATTTTACAAATCACTTTTAAACTGTATTCTTGTTTTGTCATATAGTATTTCATAACTGTTTTTCATGTATTCTCTCTGACTGTCCATCTCATAATGTTCACATAGAAACTAGCTTTCAATAGGAATATCATTCAGAAGAATTATAATTTCATGCAAAAATCTGTCACAAAAAGAGGTTGCACATTTAAATTCAGGTATTGTTATGGCAACGTCAGT